CGTGGACGCCATCGACGCCTCGTCGCCGCAACAAGGACTGCACCACATAGACCGCACCACATAGTTTGCACCACATGGGTTGCGCCGTATAGGTTGTATTATGTTGATTTCAGCACACATATTGCTCAACGTGCTTGGCACCGCATATACTATACCATACTGCACCACATACATGGCACAACACTGCGCCACGTTGATTGCATTGCTCCGCATAGACTGCTGCAAACCCACGGTTCGGGGCCCACGCCGGCTATTTTTGCACCATCTTGGACTAGATTGACTGAGCCATGTTTGTCTGCAGGTGGCTTTCTTGCGACTTCGGGGGCCATCGGAGGTTGGGGGTGAACCGCAAAGTTGACGGTGACGGTGACGGTGAGGATGATCAGGAAGTTGACAATGATGATGATGATGATGATGATGATGCTGATGATGATGCTGACGATGATGATGAAGAGGATAATGATGATGATGATGATGATGATGATGATGATGATGATGATGATGATGATGATGATGATAATGATGATGATGGTGATGATGATGATGATGATGATGATGATGATGATGATGATGATGATGATGATGATGATGATGATGATGCTTAAGGTGATGATGCCCCAAAGATTTCTGAGGAGGCCCCCACGGCTTCCAGAGCAAACCTCACGAGGACCACAGGGCCCCGGGGGGCTCCAGAACTGAGCGAGAAGCTGGGGGCACCTTTGGCCAGGGGGACCTTCAGTAGAAATGTTGACGGGTGGTGACCAGATCTGGGGTGAAGCACTTCAAAAGAGCCCCTCAGGGTTCCTTGTGGGCCCCCGCTGGCTCCCAGGGTCCCCATTGAGGGTTTGTTCTTTCACCCTCCATTTAGGGCCTCCCCCCCCTTTACCACCCGCCCTACCAAAAAAGGCGTGGCGGACAACGTCTCCGGTGCTCGGCCAAGACGAAACCAGGGCGAGGATCAAATCGGGTGAGGACAAATCGAGAATCTCTGAGATCTGGCGGCTCTGGGGGACTCACCCACCCCACCCATCCCTTCTTGCGTTGGGCCCTTTCCTGTCCGCCGACCGGGGTGTCCTCCACGACCTTGACCCCCCAGATGGCAATTGCAGGAGTCCATCAATCGTTTGCTGTGCGATCGAGAAGGAAGGGAGCCTTGTGCACTGGGGATAAGGAGGAGAAGGTGGCTGGAGGTCGAGAAGTCTGCTCCTCATCTTCACCATCTGGCTGGCGCATACTATTTGCCCTTGCGGGCTCACTGAATTCTGCCTTTAGCTCTTTGCATAAAAAATAACTTTGACAAGCTGGCCTATACTGACACGGTATACGCTGGAGCGGCGTGCCCATAAAATGTCCTGGCGAAGGACCCAACCATATGCAGTTCTGGGTACCGCAATTGTGAAAATCTTCTTCGGTGAAAGTCCCTATGGGGCCACGAAACGCTGCACTGGGTGGGGGGGGGGAACGCTGTTCTGGGTGAGTGGTGTGTCAAGTAAGGCTTCCAGGACGCATGCGGACTGTCCCACTGAAGGGCTTCGGTGAAGCTCCCTATGGGGCCACGAAGCGCTGTACCGGGTAAGTGAAAATGCCAAATTGGGCTTCCGGGACGCATGCGGACGGTCCCACTGGAGGCTTCCGTGGAACTCCCTATGGGGCCACGAAGCGCTGCACTGGGTGGGTAAAAATGCCACGTTGCGTTTTCGGGACGCATGCGGACGGTGGCACTGGGGCCTTCGGTGGAGTTCCCTACGGGGCCGCGAAATGTCGGACTGGGTGGGTGAAAATGCCACAATGGGTGTTTCGGGACGCTTGCGGACGTCCCACTGGGGCCTTCGGGGGAGCTCCCTGTGGGGCCACGAAACGCTGCACTGGGTGGGTGAAAATGCCACATTGGGCGTGACTGACGCATGCGGACGAAACGTTGTAATGACTACGTGAAAATGGCAAAGTTGGTGTTTCAGGACGCGCTCGGACGGTCCCACTGGGGGCTTCGGTGGAACTCTCTATGTGGCCCCGAATGTACTGAGCGGGGGGGACGCATGTGGACGGTAGCGCTGTGACCTTCGGTTGGCTCCCTATGGGGCCACGAAACGCTGTACTGAGTGGGGGGGACGCATGTGGACGGTGGCACTGGGGGCTTCGGTGGAGCTCACTCTGGGGCCACGAAGCTCTGTACTGAGTGGGGGGGACGCATGTGGACGGTGGCCCTGGGGCCTTCGGTGGAGCTCCCTATGGGGCCACGAAGCGCTGTACTGAGTGGGGGTGACGCATGTGGACGGTGGCCCTGGGGCCTTCGGTGGAGCTCCCTATGGGGCCACGAAACGCTGCACTGAGCGGGGTGGACGCACGTGGACGGTGGCACTGGGGCCTTCGGTGGAGCTCCCTATGGGGCCACGAAGCGCTGTACTGAGTGGGGTGGGCGCATGTGGACGGTGGCACTGTGACCTTCGGTGGAGCTCCCTATGGGGCCACGGAGCGCTGTGCTGAGTCGGGGGGACGCATGTGGACGGTGGCACTGGGGGCTTCGGTGGAGCTCCCTATGGGGCCACGAAGCGCTGTACTGAATGAGGGGAGCGACTGTGGCACTGGGGCCTTCGGTGGAGCTCCCTATGGGGCCACGAAGAGCTGTACTGAGTGGGGGGGACGCAGAGTGGGGGGGGCGCATGTGGACGGTGGCACTGGGGACTTCGGTGGAGCTCCCTATGGGGCCACGAAAAGCTGTACTCAGTGGGGGGGGACGCATGTGGACAATGGCACTGGAGCCTTCGGTGGAGCTCCCTATGGGATTACGAAACGCTGCACTGGGTGGGTGAAACGCAGGGAAGAGGGGGAGGAGGGAGGAGGAGGGAGGAGGAGGGAGGAGGAGAGGAGAGGAGAAGGAGGAGGAGGAGGGGGAGGAGGAGGAGAACGCGAGGACCGTCTCTTCAAAACGAGGGCCCAACAACACAGGTTGGCTGGGAACTAACAACTTGGCCTCGAGTGTGCCTGGCCGGGCAGCCGACTAAAAGAAATAGCGGCCGTGCTCGGCCCCACTGGCCTCGGAGTGGTCTGTCGCCCCCGCCACGTCGGCGGCGGGGGGGCCGATTCTGGCGGTCCGCCTTTCGGCTGGATCCAACTGATGGCGGCGCTGGCAAGCTCAGGGGCCCCCGCCAGCAGCGCCCCGGGAGCTGCGGCGTCCAAGAGCCGAGTGGCGCCGCTCAGTGTCTGCGTGATCGCACCTGCGTCGCCCTGCCCGACCGTTTTTCTTCTTCGAACCCTCCTCGTACATGTTCTTGAAATCGTACATGTGTTGGGTTCCCTGCGCCATGGATGGCGCCTGGGCCCGAGTTGCCCCGGGGTGGGTCGCGGGTGCGTCGTAAGTGGGTCGCGGGTGGGTCGCGGGTGGGTCGCGGGGTGGGTCGCGGGTGGGCGGTCGGGTGGGTCGCGGGTGGGTCGCGGGTGGGTCGCGGGGTGGGTCGCGGGGTGGGTCGCGGGGTGGGTCGCGGATATGTCGCGGGGTGAGTTGCGGGGTGGGTCGCGGGTGAGTCGCGGGTGGGTCGCGGGTGGGTCGCGGGTGGGTCGCGGGTTAGTCGCGGGTGGGTCGCGGGTGGGTCGCGGGTGGGTCGCGGGGTGGGTCGGGGGTGGGTCGCGGGGTGGGACGACGACGACAACAAACAGCAACAGCAACAGCAACAACAACAGCAACAGCAACAGCAACAACAACAGCCACAGCAACAGCAACAGCAACAGCAACAGCAACAACAACAACAACACTAACACCAACACCACCGCCACCACCACCACCACCACCACCACCACCACCACCAACAACAACAACAACAACAACAACAACAACGCGACAAACATAATCCTCACCACGGATTCTCACTTCAGCACGCACCCAGGACAACGAATGACCGTTCGGCCCCCTCACTCTGATTTGCAGAAACTCCCGTATTTATTGTAGGAAGCAACAACTGGAAAGATTTCGTCGGAAGGATAAGACAGAATTCAAACCCCTTAGGGGGTCTCCGACGCCGAATCGGGCCGCGGATCAAGCGGGATTTACAGGATTAAGCTGGATTGAGCGGGATCACGCGGGGTCAAGCCAGCTTTCGGACCAGGGCCAAATCAGAATTGGATCTCCCAGAAGTTTCGGGGGCGCACAAACATGGATGGCGATCCATGGATCGGGGGAGGCGCCCTCGCCAAAATGCGGCTGGTGCCGCCTCGCTCGCACGTCGCTAACCCACGCCCCTCTAATCCATTCGGGCCGGGCGACAGGGGGGGATAGCAAAGGGGAGGTTGGAGAATCAGCTCACGTAGCTGATTTTCCCGGCGCCTCCCGGCGCCGGGCGGCGCCCATGAATCGAGGAATGTGCCCCTCGGTGGGGCCGAAACCGGCTGCGTGCGGCAGATTTCGTAACCCCCTCGTTCCCTATCCCCCCCTTGTGTCTGGCTATACACCGACGGTTTTTCCGGCCCCGCACTGGAACTCGCACAGGAAAGCGGATCCTGATGTATACGGGATCCTGGTGTATACATTTGTCGTTGTCTCCACGGGGAAACGGGAAAAACAGTGTACACTACACCACCCCGACGTCGCCCCCGACCCGCAAACATTCCTGGGATTGCGAAACAGCCCGCTGCTGGTAGCGTATGTGCTCCAGTTTCCGATAATCCATGTTTGCGATCGCCGAAAAAGTTGCATCTGAAGTGTGCGGGCAAGACTTGCGTCCATATCCACTGCAGCTTGGAGTTTCGGGCTTCCTTCCCCAAAAAACCCGAGGCGCACTGGATATGGGTAAACATCCGGTCCCTGCAGGCTCGATCTTTATCCATATCAAGTGCGCCTCGGCCTTGCGGCACCCCTTCCAAAAAATCCAAGACGCACTGGATATGGATATAAGAGTTGCCAGCGAAGTGACCACCTCGCTGCGCGAGGCCGCCTGAGAGCATGGCGGCTCGGCTCCGGCCGCTCCGGCTCTCCCCCATGCCGGGCTGGGCGCCCGTCCCCCGCCGGCCTGGGCGGCTCTCGAGGCGCCTCCGGCTTCTCCACGAACCAGCGCAGCGCCTCCCCCGCACCGCGGGCAGGGGGCCGACGACAGAGCTGTGGATGCCACGACTATGGGCCCACCCTACTATCCCACCCGACTCTCCTCGAGTTGAGTCGACTCTACCCTGTTCTACTCCTATTATATGTTGTGCCTGCTCCACTCTGCTCGTCGTCGTCGTCGTCGTAGTCGTCTTCGTCGTCGTGGTTGTTGTCGTGCCGTCGGCGTCGGCGTCGTCGTCGGTGTCCTCGTCATCGTCTTCGTCGTTGCCGTCGTCGTGGGCGTAATTAGGCGTCGGCGTTGGCGTCTTCTCCAGTCAGCTCCACTCTCCTCTACGTCTGAGTATGATCCACATCTTCCTACTCTACTCTGCTACATCGAATTAAGAATGTGTTTTAACTGTAAGAAAGTGTCCTGGAAATGTTTGCGACATGTCTTTTTACATGTTTAGAACAGTTGTAGCACATGTTCCAGACATCCGGAAAACATGTGGCAACATGCTTCCTCTCCATGAATCGCCTTCCACGACAGAGTTGCTTTGCCCCTGCAATCTGGTTGGTTCGTGGCATCTGCGAGTGAGCACGTGGAAGGTTTCCAGGTGCACGAGCACATTCTGCGCATGTGCTCGCGGATCCGACGAGAAGTAGCAAAGATGGGGTAGATCAATTCTGCGGTCGATCCCCTACTTCCCCTCCGCGCCCCCTCCCACCAGCCGCGCAGGTGCCCGCGCGTGGTGCGCGGGCGCAGCAGGATCAGCAAGCAACTCCTGGGAGGTCTTCGTATAACTACGAAGGGGTGTCAATTCAGATTCGTGGGCCATCGAGCCAGATGAGCCCAGCTTGAACACTGGATTAGGGCGGATTGAGCGGGGCTGAGCGGAATGCAGCGGGTTCGATCTGGCTTGGGCCACTGTTCGACCACGGATATCCCAGCGCCGATGCTGAATGATACAATCGGTCGGAAGACGTATGTGGAAACATGGAGTAGGAAGGCGAATTGGGCTGGGTTCGGGCCCCAGCCCAAAGAGGGGCCCGCACAGAGAGTGTCAGAACGGAGCAAAAGCATACCGATTCTCGAAGCAGGAAGGCGCTTGAAGTAGATTAGGCTCTGGATGTCCAAAAAAAGCCGACCCTCAACGCCGGAAGGGTGTCTCAGCGCCGATGCCGAGACGAACCTCCAAGGAGTTCCATCCGAAAGGGCGGGATCGCCGACCCCGCCCCCTGCCTCTGCCTCTGCTTGCCCCTGAGCCTCGGCTCGTCGGCGCAGCCCTGCCGCCCTCGCCGTCGGCGCCGGAGGCGGAAGGAAGTGGGCCGACCCGAGGATGAAGGGGCCCAGGGACACTGACACTGACACTGACACTGCACCCTCACGTCACGAGGGACGGCCCTACGAGGGGCGGGGCGGTCGCGCCTCGGCGCGGACAAATGTGTAAAACAATTTTCAATCAAGAGGGAAGGGGGCCCAGGGACACACAAACAAACATACGTTTTGCGTCGGCGCGTCTGCGGCTACTCCGGGGAGACGTCACCCCCGCCGTCAGCCCCACATCGACCCCCGTCGCGGGCAGCCACCGAGCGCCGGAGGCGCTCCGACCCCTGTCGCGGCGCGACGACGAGGCGAGGTTCACCCCTGTCGGGGAGGTACCCCCCACGATTATTGAGAAAACTCGAGTAGGCAAAGTAACAACGCTGGCGGAAAGCTAACTAAACGGGGGTGCCGTTGTAGCGAATTGTGCCACCATGCAGGAGGAGGGGAGACGATACAAACACACGCACACAAATCCCGAGATTCCTACTGTTTGGCCTATTTCCCATGTGTCCGTGGGAACCGACGAGTCTTTGTCTGTCCATGTGCCTCTCTTCCTCCCGAGAGACTATAGAGGCCCCACCTCCTGGGCCCGAGCGAGGAGCCGCTACTCGTCGGCCGGGGCCACCCACCGGCGAGAGCCGGGGGAGGAGGCGCGGCAGGCGAGAGGGCAAGGGCAAGGAAGGCCTGGGACGTCGGTCGGGCATGTCCCCCTACAGTTATGCTGGCCCCATCGTACGTAAGGACCACATCCCAGAAATCATTTCGAGCACCCAAAGAAGTATCGAAAGAGTGTCTGCCCGACACGCTGGCGAAATGTCGAACGAATATCGCCTCCCAGGGCCCGACACGTGAAAAGCCTGCACTTTAGGCACTCTCCTGGTGCTCGAAATTCTTTCTGGTGGTCAAGGCTAAAGTAGGTTGGAGCATCATAACCCTACAGGCGGATGCTGTAGGAAAACAATACAGAATCAAAACATGCTCGGGAATGGTCATACAGATAATGGAACAAATCGTTCCCAGACTATTTGTTCATTATTCTTTAATGCTCCTCCTGTGCAGGGCCGCGCCCGACGGAAGCCTGGGGCGCGCCCTGGCTGGCTGTCCGAGGCCGCGCCCAGCCGTGTCCACGCGGGACCAGCAGGAAGCCCAAGCAGGGCACAGCCATGGCCGAACTCGTCCCTTCCTCTCCTCCGACGCCGACGGCGCCGTTCAGGTCGGCTGGTCCAGAAAATCCATCTGCGGATGCCCCCGCATGGCGTCCTGACCAGTCTCTCGAGTCCCCACAATCAGGGGGCATCCACTGACCACCACACTTGTCCTGCCCATCCCAGGCCCAAAATCGGTATCCCCAAATATCCGGTATCCTGATTTGGTCAATAGATAGCTCCACCCACTCTTGGGAAACCGGCATTTTATCCAGAGTCGTTTTCTGACAGTCATGGGAGGCATGCATTTTATCTAGAGGCGAGGGCTTCCAGAGGCGGAGAACGGCCACAAACCTCCGTCTCGATTGTCAATACGTTAGCGATATCTGGGCACACAACCTGTGGGAGTGGCCAGGCCATGACCGGTGATGTGGACGCAGCTGGCGTCACCAGACAAGCCCGCCGGAGGACGAAGATAACAGGGGATATGTCGATCCCTATCCCAAGCTCCGTGGGGTGTTCGCATGGACTAGAACTTTTAGGCCCAACCCTGGGATACACAATGGGGGGGCGTCTGTCCTCGATGGTCGTGTGTCCGTATAGCCCCCTTGGGGTGTATCCCGAGGTTTCCCAATTTATCTGAGCGGCCATTCTTTTCGGGCGGAACACGGGGATTGGGGTAGAAAAATCGCCTGCGAGAAGAGGGTCCGCTCGGCTCCACGACGTGAAACCCGGGCCCGGGCAAAGCCACGCGGAGGTGATCGCAGTGGGCTGGCCGGCTGCTCCCCCTCGGAGGCGACGGTGTACGGGCGAGTAGCACCGGAGGGGGATCCAAAGGGGGCCGATGGCCCACGGCTTCGCCGGCCAGCCACAACTGGGGGAGCTGTGGTTCTTACCCCCCTGAGGGAAACGCATCGCGTCGACGATCTCTCGAGAGGGGCGTCGAATTCGGTGGGTCCTCCAGGGGGTAAGGACCACAGCTCCCCCAGTTGTGGCTGACCTGCTTCGGCGAGCCTCCCCGGCGGATGCGTGTACGTAATGCCGGCCTCTGGGCTACAGTCAACCAGCATCATCAGGATGGGCATCCTTCCCATGAATACTCTTGCATCCTTGCCTCCTCGGCCCATCCTGGACCACTTTCGTTGGCCGCGCTCCGCTCGAAAGCTTCGAAATGGGCGTCCAAGGCCCTTGCATCGCGCATCCTCACGATACGGGCCGACTGTCGTCCTTTGCTGGTCCAGGGGAAGCTGAAAGCTATCAGAAACGAACAAAAAACCAACATGGGGATAGATGACAGCATGCCTCTATGCTTTTCTTCTCGACTTGAGGATGTCAGGGGATTGACACGAGATATGTCGACCTCTATCCCAGGCTTCGCGGGTTTTTCGAGATAACCGAAAATTTGGGGCCCAACCCGGGGATCTAGGAAGAGGGCTCGGATCCTCGATGGAGGTGCGTCCGAATAGCCTCCTTGGGGTATCCCAGAGTTCCCCCCTTTTCTGAGCGGCCACACTTTTCGGGCGGAACTCGGGGAGTGGGGAATAGAAACATCGCCTGCGAGGGCTGGCACTCACACCCCCAAGCCGTGCCTCCTCCCGGGCCCCGTCTGCCCCACTGCATGATTCCGACCGGCCGACGTCCCCCAAATCCCCGGCGCCTCCACCAAGCACGCCCACTTCAAGGCCCCGAGCCCCCACACTGGCATCACTCCCGCCGACCGACCGACCGTTCACCTCCCGTGATATGGTCCAGCCCTGACGGAGACAGTGGGAGAGGAACAGGGGGGGACGAGGACGGAGGCAGGTGGAGGGATGACGACAAAGGGACGAGGGAGGAGGCCGAAAGGAGACAGAAGCTAACTGAACGCCGCCGCGCGGTTCGCTGAGACGGGCATAGAGCGAGAGGAGACAGGAGGAGGAGGAGGAGGAGGAGGAGGAAGAGGAGGAGGAGGAAGAGGAGGCTGGATCCCGGATCTCGAGCCTCGATCTCCCATGGCCTCTCTCCTCCTCCTCCTCCTCCTCCTCCTCCTCCTCCTCCTCCTCCTCCTCCTCCTCCGCCACCAACGTCTCCTCTTCTTCATCGATCCTCAATCCATCCTTCTCCTTGATCCCAGAGCCCTGCCCCGAAAGGCCTCCCGCTCGGCGTGCTGGATGCGCTGGATGCGCAGCGCCTGCTTCCGAACCAGGTCCTCGCGGGCCTCGCCGAGGACGGCGGTCCGCTGTGGCCAGACAGCCCCCCCTGCCTCCTCCTCCTCCTCCTCCTCCTCCTCCACCTCCTCCTCCACCTCATCCTACTCCTACTCCTGGCTCATTCTCCTCCTCCTCTTCCTCCTCCTCCTCCTCCTCCTCCTTTCCTCCTCCTCCTCCCTCCTCCTCCTCCTCCTCCTTCTCCTCCTCCTCCTCCTCCCACCCCCCTCCTCCTCCTCCTCCTCCTCCTCATCCTCCTCCTGCTCCTCTTCCTCCGCCTCCTCCTCCTTTCTGGAGCGTCTCATATACAGTCGGATCCAGGCCAGAAGAACATCCCTCAAGAACATGAGACCCTCCGTTGACCAAAACAAACAGAACACTTCAGGGTACCCTCCCCAGCATGCACAACACCATCCAACAAACACGAAGAATACCAGGGCACCCTCCTCGAACCGACCTCGATCTTGTACCTGTCGCTCGGAGCGCGCCAGGGGGCAGCGCAGATCCGAGAACTCCGCGCGGATCACCAACAGTTGGTGCTGATGCCGCCAAAAGTCGGCGGCGAGCCCGTGGGGGAAGTGAGGGTGCGAAGTCGGTGGATCGCGAAGCATCGACGAGGCGTCGGCAAGGCATCGCCGATAATTACATCGGCGAGGCATCGGGGACGACGGCGTGGAGAACATGGCGCTCCGCATCGAGCCAAACCGCCGATGCATCGGCGCTCCGGAGTGAACCTTCGACCCTATCCGGAATCCCACTTCGGAGGCCTGGAGAAGAGCGGCAGGAGAGGGGGAACTGAGAAGGGGCGGGCCTCCTCAGAAGGCTCGGGAGTCCCCTGGCCTTCTGGGAAATGGTTCGGAGCCTTCCACGGAGACACAAGAGACGTCTTGGAAGGCCGCAGGCCTTCCGAAAAGCCCTGCCGCCTTCTGACAAGGCCTCCTCCTTCTCGCTTCCCCGCTCGCTCGCCGCCTGGTCTTCGGGTCATAGCTCGGGTCCGTGGCGGCCGCTCGGGACGGTCCGGGCACCCCCGGGCCGCCCTCGGCGAGGCGCAGCCGCCGGAACGCATCCCGAGGGCGGAAGACCGCCAAGAAACGACGGAGACGCCCGAGACTCGCACCTCGAAACCGAACCACTCGAAGAACCGCCAAGAAACTACGGAGACCGCCAAGAAACTACGGAGACGCACTCGAAGCTCGGAGCTCGAGCCTCGACTCCGGAGGCCTGGGGCAGAGCGGCAGAAGAGGGGGTGCCTGGCCCGCCGCCGAAAGAGACCCAAGGCATCGGCGCGGGCCCCTTTTATCCCCTCGGGATCTTCTGACCCGGGCCAGTCCAGACCCGGGTCAGTCTGGCCTTGCAGAATCTTGCGAGATCCTGCGGGATCCTGCACCCACGCCAAGGCCAACGCCAAGGATCCTGCAGGATCCTGCACCCAAACCCGGGCCAGTGCGCCCCTGGCCCTGCAGGATCCTGCAGCATCGGGCGCTCTGGCCGACCCCCGTCTGCATCGACCCCCGTAGGGGGGAAGGCTTCTGAGAAGGAGGCTGCTTCTTAGAAGGCGCCGGCCTTACACTTGTAGACAAGGCCCGCGCCTTCTAAGAAGCAGGGGTGCTTCTAAGAAACCTTCCCCCCCTCCCCCCACCCCCCCTCTGCGCGCCGCCAGCCCCGTCTCTCAGGGCCCCCCACTGCCCTGTCCCCCCCGTTCGCCCGGCGCACGCAGAGGAGGGGGGCGGCGCGAGGGGGGCGGCCGTCGGAGAGGGCGGGAAGGAATGAAGGGGCCCTGGGACACACAAATAAATACACACAAATTAAAAAGATTCCCCATATTTTCCCATATTTCCTGGGCTTTTTTGTCCTCCCTTCCACTTCCCGTATTTCCCCATGTTTTCTGGGGCTCGACGATTCATTGTGTCTGTGTGTTTGTTCCCCTCCTGAAGGAAGCTCCCACGGCAACGGGGCCTTCTCGCATGGGGCCTATGGCAGCCCCCACGAGGGCTCGCTGAAGGCCCCCGGGTCCCCTCCCCCGCCCTGCCCTCCGGGCCCCTCGCAGCCCTGGGGACGGGAGGCCCGTGCCCCAAAAGGGACGCTCGACGCCCGTTCTCCGTGGCTCCGTCGGGGGGGGGGGGGAACCTTCGGCCGGCCCCGGGGCCCTCCGAACGCGAGGCCGGGACGAGAGCGGTCGAGGCTTGGAGCACAGTCCATCCAGCGGTATCTTGATGATGCGCGGTAAGGATGCCGCAAGAGCCTAGGAAGTTCGTGCCCTCCCCCCCTCCCCAGGGGCGGCGCCCGAGGTGCCGCCACCTGGGTGTCCATCACCGGTCCAAAAGACCCGCGCGGGCCTCCAGAAAATTACGCGCATACCGCTGCGACCACCGGAATGAAACGGCTCCCCGAATCAGCGCAAATCTCATCCATGAAGGAGGGGGTCACGGGCCCCGCGCCTACCGAGGAGACCCGCGAAAGCCTCCGACAGTTGATGCTCATGCCCCGAAGAGAGGCCTCCCAGATGGGATCCGGGCACACGAGGTCGGAGCATCGCGCCGCACCGCCAACGCATCGCCGACGCATCGGCGACGCCGGCGTGGAGAACAGTGGGCTCGACATCGAACCGCATCGCCGACGCAACGCCGACGCATCGCCGATCCATCGGCGATGCGGCGCGGCCCTCCAACCCCACCTGCGCTGCTCGGACCCCATCTGGGAGGCCTCGGCTTTTCGCGAGCCTCCGAACGCTGATGTCCACTGGGGGAACGAACAGTGCCATAACCATAAAAACTCGGAGGTCCGCGCGGACTTCTCGGATCCTCGCTGGACCCCCCCTCCGAGTTTCGATGGTTACAGTCGGACTTGATTGGGGAGGACACGCGAGAGGACACAAGACCCTTCCGAGGGCCACGTTGCCACAGAAATGCAGGAGGCATGGGTCGCAAGACACAGGACACGAGGGTACCCTTGATCTGGCAGGGTCGACCTATTAATCCAGGCCGCCTGTATGTCCTTGTTCGTACCCCTGTTTCTGCGATCCTCCGAACGCCGATGTCGGAGGAGGAGGAGGAGGGAGACGAGGAGGAGTAGGAGGAGGAGGAGGAGGAGGAGGAGGAGGAGGAGCAGGAGGAGGAGGAGCAGGAGGAGGAGAAGCCGCCGCCGTCCGACCGTCGGCGCCTGGCGCTCCCTGAGCGCCACCGCCTTGGCCTCGATCGCCTGGGAGGCGCGCTCGTTCGCCTGCCGGCGGTGGATGCGCGAGCGGGGGGCGGCCCTCGCCGACGGGCGGCCCCACCCGCCGCCTCCCGCTGCTGGTCACCGGCGAACGGTGAAGGTGGTGCTGTCCTTGGCGATGGCGATGGTGATGTTTGCGATGCAGATGGCGATGATGATGCTGATGATGATGCTGATGATGAGGATGATGATGATGTTGGTGATGATAACGATGATGTCTGTTGTGGTGATGATGATATGCTGCTGATGGTAATGCTGGTAATGACGGCAACGATGGTGATGGTGGTGCAGGTGCAGATGCGGATGATGACGATGCTGGTAGAGCTGGTAATGGTTCAGGATGATGCTTATGAAGAAGATGATTCAGATGCTGATGATGATGACGATGATGATGCTGCTGGGGATGATGATGATGATGATACTGATGCTGATGGTGTTGAGGGTCATGATGATGCTGATGATGTTGATTATGATGCTGATGATGGCACCGTATCAGGCCCACTGCACAAACGCCAAACGCTGGGAACTAGATGCATCTAACTTCGCAATAATCGCATCCAGATAGCCTCACCAGCCCAAGTCGTTTCGCTTTGCAGAGAGACAACTATAATATGAATAGCGGCAATAAACCAAATCGGTGTTTGTATACATCTATATATATATATATATATATATGGGTGCCGCGAGGCGTATTTAGCACTTGCAGAAGTTCGTCAGACGCTGCGTCCGAAGGCTCGCTCAAGCCAGGTCACTGAATGCGCGTAAACCTGAAAGCCCAAACCTTCGAAATAGAGATCCAACACAACTGAGCACTCTTGCATTCTACTCGCAAACCATCTCTCATCCAATCGTACGGGGCTCGATGCAGACCACGTCGACGTCCATTGATGCAAAACCCGTGCACGGGATCGCTGATCACGGCCTCTCGACGTGTCATCTGATGAACGGCGCGGGCCAAGTTCTGACGACAACCCCCCCGATCTTGTTGTCTCTCTCTCTCTCTCTCTCTATCGGTCTCTCATCTCTCTCTCTATCTGCGCTCTCTCTCTCTCTCTCTATCCCTCTCTTTCCCTCTCGCTCCCTCTCTCTCTCTCGCTGCGTTATCAGAATACCCGCACCAACTCAAAATCGCTTCGGTCCCGAACCTAGCTCACACCTCACAGTCATATTCACAAGCATCATCATCATCAGCGCCGACATCATCAGCGTCATCATCAGCATCAGCATCAGCATCACCATCCTCGTCATCATGGACATGGGCATGGCAGCACCATGATCATTATCAGCATGGCCTTCGCCTTCATCATGATCATGCCATTGTTCAGCATGTTCACGATCATCACCAGAAGGCCCATCATCATTTTCATCATCATCATATCATCATCTCCATCATCAGCAGTATCATCATCACGATCATCATCATCATCATCATCCTCATCATCATCATCATCATCATCACCATCATCACCTTCATCATCATCATCATCATCATCATCATCATAATCACCATAATAATCATCATAATCAGCATCATCATCATCATCGTCTATAGCCATTTTGGATGAAGCCAATGTGGCTGTCACCATTCAGGATTGGACCGCTGCGTCTTGAGATGCAGCCAGTGACCTGCTGCATCTGAAGCTCGGGCTGGCAATGCTGCACGTAGTCCAACGCCGTGCCCCGCTCTCCGCAAGGGATCAAGTTCCACTTTGGCTCCGTTAAATGCAAAGAAGCGCGGGGATGCCTTGACAAGCCTGGCACCCGACCTCATTGCGGAACTGGACAGCGCATTACAAGTTTCCGATTGCATTTCCAGGCTACGCGTAAATGGAACACGGCGCAATCACAGGCAGGCCGACCATGATTTTTTGTTGGATGGGTATAGGGTTGAATGCAAGAATTCCCAGATGCACTGGGCTAAGTCTACGTGGTCTTTCCGCTTTGAAGGGGTCAAGCTAGCATTTGAACACATTCGAGGTCAGCAGTCCTTTGATACATTGATTTTGATTATGCATAGTCCCGAGCGCGTATACATCTACCAGCACGATCTTCAATTCGGAGTTAGTTCAAGCGGCTTAAGATCAGCCTCGAGTGGCCATCACATTCAATTGTATGGTGAGAAAGTGCTGAGTGTTGGCGTGCTGCTTTACAATCCCTACTCAGGAAACTACACGTGGAAAGTCGTTGCAAACACATTGCTGATATTGCTGTCGCAGACCAGAGAATGCGCACAGCGATATCTGAGCAGGACGTAACTCGTGATATGACAGCCGCGGGGTCCAGCGGCGATCCAAGAAAATCAGCGAGAAACTAAGAGAGTCTGGGCTTATGATGCAGGTCCTCCTTCTTCGGTCCTCCCCTCCCTCCTCTCCCCTCCCCGCATACGTGCAAGAGCGGCATTGGGCAAGAGTGACCCCTGTTGCGCGGTCTCAAGGGTCCAGCACCAAACGAGCAGACCAGTGCCAAACTCTGCGCGCCCGCGTCAAAATGCCTCGCCGGCGACCCCTGAGATAGCACGTGGCACAACACGCACGTGTCACCGCGGAAACTGCAGACACCGAAGACCTTGACCCGATCGTTCTGCTGCATTGCTCTAGCCAGGTCCAGCTGACTTGGTCCGAGATCGGGGGCCAAGACGCCAGCCGCGAAACAACTGCAACCCCTGGGCCGCAGGGGTGGTCCAGCGCAGGCGTCGCTCGTGCGAAGGGCCACGCTCACGCGTGGCCAGACTCCTCCACCCGCCCCCCAGAACGGGCTCTTCTGGCCTCCTGGCGAACGGCCTCGGCCTTCTGCAGCCTCCCCTGCAGCTCCTGGGGCGGGGCGGGGGGAGGGGAGGGCGCGCAACTGCACTTGGCCAAGAGGAACTCGGCCTGGCCGAGTTCCGCCCGGCATAATATTTCCGTTGTCTGGGGTGGGCGGGGGGCACGCCCTGCCGCCCTTTTTGTTTTGTTCTCTCTCTCTCTCTCTCTCTCTCTCTCTCCTCGCGCCGACAGGGGGGGGGGGGGGCAGGTATGCCTGCTGCCCTCTCGTCGCCACTGGCTCCTCGCAGCTCTCCCATTCCTGGGCCTCGACCTGCTGCTCAACTGCGGACTCCTCGCTCTCCTCATCCTCTCTCTCCTCCTGCGCCCGCGCCTCCCTCCTCCTCGTCTCCCTCCACCCCCCACTCCTCCTCGTCGTCGTCATCCGAATTCTCCTCCTTCACCTTCACCTCCTCCGCCTCCTCTCCTCGTCCGCCGCCTCCTCATGCTCCACGTCCTCCTCCTCGTCCTCCTCCTCCTTTTGTTTTCTCCTTCTCCTCCTCCTCCACCTCGTCCTCCTCGTCCTCCTCCTCGTCCTCCTCGTCCTTCTCGTCCTCCTCCTCCTCTCCTCGACCGCCGCTCTCTCATCTTCTCCCCGTCGGCCTCCGCCTCCGCCTCCGCCACCTCCTGCTGCTGCTGCTGCTGCTGCGATTCCTCCTCCCCCTCCTCCTCCTCCTCCTTCCTCCTCCTCCTGCTCCTCCTCCATGTTTTCTCCTTTTCCTCCTTCTTCCCCGTCTTCCTGATTCATCATCCCCCTCTCCCTACCCACTGAACCGTGCCAGGGGGACGTCCCAAGCAGGAACATGCGAGTTACTATGCTCAACCCCTGTGGAATACATCCACACGGAGGCCGAGCACTCCGAGCGGACTTACTCCTTATGGATTTAGCATCCCACAACGAAAACATAAATCCAGACGGGGCAAGTCCGCACGGAGACCGAGAAGTCCGTGCTGATTCACGCCGCGTGGCATTAGCACCCCAACAAGAAAAGCTAAGTCCAGACGGATTAACTCCATGGAGAGACCGAGCACTCAGCGTGGAGTTTATATGTGTACAATGAACGCCCTACCAAAGAAAGGCTCATTCCTCACGGAGGAAGTCCACACGGAGACCAAACTCTCTGTGCGGACTTACTCCGTATGGCTCGCAATCCAGACAGAAAAAAGGGCATGGGCTTAGCATCCTATCATGAGAGGCCAAGTCCAGACGGGGTAAGTCCACAAGGGTCCGAGCGCTCTATGCGGACTTACGTTGTATCAGCATCCTAGCAAAAGACACTCAATCCAGACGGAGTAGATCCATAAGAAGACCGAACACCCCGTGCGGACGTACTCAGAATGGCCTTGGCATCTTACCAAAACCAACCAAATCCAAACTGACACATCCCGTACGGAAGCCGAGCAATCCGTGCGGACTTACTCCGCATGGCCTTCCCATCCTACCAAAAAAAGCTGAATCCAAATGGGGCACATCCATACGGAGGCCGAGCACTCCGTACGGAGTTACTCCGTATGGACTGAAGATCCTACCAGAAGACTCTTAATACATACGGAGTGAATGCATACGGTGACCGAGCACTCCGTGCGGTCTGCGCCAGCATGGGCTTAGCATCCTGCCATGAGAAGCTAAGTCCAGACGGGGTAAGTCCATACGAGGACCGAACACTCCGTGCGGACTTACCTTGTATCAACATCCTATCAAGAGAAACTCAATCCAAACATAATCCATCCATACGGAGACCGAGAACCCCATGCGGACTTACTCAGAATGGCCTTGGCATCCTACCAAACCAAACCACATCCAGACGGAACAACCACAT